GGGTGTGTTCCAAAATTCACTGCCAGTGTTGTAAATGTATAGTATACGTAAACTGTAGATTTTCATCATTGGCAGTGAATTTTGAAACATAGCCTTAGTCATTTCTCTCACACCTGTTTGTCCGTTTATCAGAAAAAAAAAAATGGAAAAATTTTCTAGCTCTCTGGCGTACGCGATCGCACTCTAATCGGGAAAGTCGATCACCCCTGGCTGGTACGCACTCGATCGGACATAAGTGCGCTCCCTCAAGCGCGTATAAGTACGGCCCGTTTAGTATCTTTCCGAGTGTTATATACACGTGTTTATTACTCGTGTCTGCCGGCGGTACTTCGCAGATAATACCAAGAGAAAAGACGAGGACAAAAATAGAAACGCTCTGGACATATAAGAGAGAGAAGACATGAGAGAAAGGAACGAGAGTGAAAGAGAATAGCCCGTGAGTGTTGGAGAAGCGGAGAAAGGGAAGGCGATCAAGACGAACGGAACGAGTCCTCTTTTCAATTTACGGGACTTTTCGCTATCGTGAAATGCGTCTTTTCTCTTGAGAGCGCCGGGAGGATATGTGTAGTTCGGTATTGTTTACAATCGTTGGAGGCGCCAGACGAGAAGCCAATGAACGGCATACGCGTACGTTATCGACACGGTAATTGTTGTTCGGTCTCATTTTATGCAAATTTGAAGTACGATACAATATTATCTCAGGCAACACAAAATATGATGCAGTGATTCAAAGAAATCAATATATACTCTCTAAATCTTTCAGAGTGAATATCACTCGGAAGAGTAAAATCTCATTCTTAAAGACTGAAAATTGAATCAGTCCTTTTCCAGACTGGATCAATTTTCACTCTCTAGAGTGAGATTCTATTTTTTAAAATTTAAAGAGTATTTTATAAGGATCAATATTGTAATAATTTTTAATGAGGATAAGCTAAGTGTATCTCGAATGCATTTTGAAAATTTCCTCACTGTATATTTATTCCTATACGAAAGAATAATTTTGCTAAAAGATCTGAAATTTTGGAGTTTACTCTCTAAAATTTTTAGAGTGAATTTTTCTCTGAAGAATGAAATTTTACTCTTAAACATTGAAAATTGAGTTTGAAATTCTCTTTCAAGTTTCACTCTTTAGAATGAGACTCCACTCCAAAGAATTTAGAAAGTACAGATCTGAAAATAATTTTGTTGGATTATTAAAATAACTATGTTAGAAACTAAAAATGATGAACAATACTGCAAAACATTTTGATATTATAACAATTAGTTTGAGTTTTTAACACAATTATTTTGACGGTCTAATAAAATTATTTTTATATCCAGCAAAATCATTCTTTCTGTATGCGAGAGAACCAACTCTCCATCAGACGAATTATTTAATTTATATCTCTTGCGCAAAATACGATCGCAAAATTTGATCAATCACATAATTTTAATTCATTTTATTCTAATTGGTTGAATTTTAATTAAATTTCAATGCGTAATCCAAGGCTTTAAGCTCATGTCACGGTACGCATTGGAGATTAAGGATGTGAATTAAAGATTAAAATTTAGTCAGTAAAAACGAAAGGAATTAAAATTAAAATTATCTGACTGGTCGAACTTTAATCTCTAATTCGCAATCTCCTATCGTTCGATATTGGCTTTACGGATTATGGAACAAGATTGAGATATTAGGGAGTTTTTGCAATACCGTTTATCCAAATAGATAGATATGATAAATGCTAAGGTCAGGTTATCTTCTTCTTAACAACTAATTAAGAAAAGGATAACATGTCTTTAGCATTTGCTAAATCTGAATCCATGTTATTGCAAAAACTTATTTTACCATGCTAATCGAGTATCTCGATTTTCGCTGATAAATTTCGTTGATATACTTCTTTTTTTAATTTTGTTTTGTGCACGCATGTCGATGGCGTGCAATCGCGCTTATCATTTTCGCGGTGAGATACCGTGAGTCTCAGCCGCCTGCATTCGCACTCAAAAACACTTATTTACCTCGTCGGTTTTTTTTTTGTCGGTCATCAGATAATTTTTTTTCGCGACGAACGAAAAGAAGAATCGTCAATCTTGGATATTTAAAAAAATTTGCGAATTTCCTTGCAATCTGTCAATCTTGCGACTCAGCAAATATTATAATGAAAAAATAATAAGTCTCTAATATAGAGATTGATTAATTGATTTTAACCCTCCAACATCACCCCAAAGTTTTTGATCATATTTTACACTCTAGATCGTTGAGAGAAACAGCATACATTTTATGATTCCGAATTATATAAAAGTCTGAAAAAATTTTACTTACACTTGCAAAACCTTTAACAATAAATATTTTAACAATAAATATTATAATAAAAACTGAACTGTATTTTATTTATTTTTTTGCATATTGAAATCTAAATAAGAATTTTGAAAAAACGTGATACCGGCTGTGCCTTAAAAGGCACAAAAGTGATGCTGGAGGGTTTAAAAGACGCGAAAAGAGCTTTGTAATAATGAATGATCTAATCAATCTGTTGAATGTATAGAAGATGAAGCAACACTCCTTAAGAATTACAAGTTGCATACGCGTGTTTTCATCGTCGTGCTACTACTAATCGCGCGAAAAAGATAAAGAGAGTTAGATAACTTCGACATCAATACACGCACCGCTTCCTTCGGTTATTGCTTAGTGTTGAACGCTAATTTCCATCAGCACGATGCGCCGGAAATAGAAGTTGTCTGCCCTATATTCGCGTAACTTGTTTTGAAAGAGGCAAGTCAATGTGTGTCTGCTACGACAACTCGGGTACGCGTTTACCTAATGATATTGCATACGCCAATCGATCGTGAATAAGTTTTATCAACCTAGAAACGACAAAATAATGCATATTGAACGAAAATTTAAATTAGACCGTGTCAGTTGATGTACACACAGTGTGGCAATTAAAAATAATATTGATGACGAAAATCAATATTCTATCAGAATTAGTAGAAACATTTGTAATCGATTTCTCTTAGAGTTAAACTGTCGTGACTAATAGCTACTGAGTAAGCCATTGGAAATGAAGGACCTTTCGTAAAGCTTCATAAACTTCGAGAACGTAAAGAGAATGACAGAATTCATTTCAATGTAAAATACATCTTAATGGAATCTTAATTCTCAAAGCTAAATTATCAAAATATCGAATATCGTAGAAAATAATAATTTTATATAATAATTCTAAATACATTTTATTTAAATTTTAAATTTAACGAAAAGTAGTCTTACTGCGTTTACTTTCCAGATTGTTTTCTACATCGTAATTATTTCTATTTTATAATTATTCTTTATATATACATATCTACAGAATTAATTTTTTAAACCTATATTGGTAATATTCCAAATATTTTGAGATCGCGTAGAATTATTGTTTTGTAAAATTATACGGTGTTATACCGTAGTCTCGCATACATTCACATATCAAGGCCGCTGGCCTTATTTCCATTTTCGTTGATAACGCGACTAATCGAATGCGACGTAGCCTGCAAAACAAGTCAACATTGTTCTAATCCTATCACAGACATAACAGCGGTCGCTGGTAGAACTTGGAGGAGATACAGCAGAAACACCGGTGACCTATCCCAAGCAAACTAGGATAATACCCTAGAAGCCATATCTCTGTGTATATATGTGCGTGTGTGTATGCGCTTTTACACATGAAAAGTTTACCTCATTAAAATACCCCCACACGCAATTATCTTTTTGTTCCAAAATAGCGCTATCTCATGAATGTAATCGAAATTCCCATATAGAGTACACAATATTCCTAGAATGTTATATGAATATTATTTGTTCCTTTTAATATTCATCATATTCAAAGAATATTGTCTCGTAGGGTCACTTCAACGAGATGAATTCGGACATCTTTGAAATTAAAAGGCACAAAATGATCATCGCGTTTCGTGTCCCTAAAGTAATGAAGGGAAGGAAAGGGTCTGTACTAGTCCGATCGAGGAGTAGATCGCAATTATGCTGACGTAAACGTGTGATGAACAAAGGTTGCTCCTATGGACAAAGCGATTTCTCTTTCTCTTATTCTGTCGGTGACTCCCGTTGCGACGCGACGCGTCGATTATACGACATCCGCGGACGAAAGTACGCGTCCTCTCCCTCCCTCCCTCCCCCCCTCCCTCTCTCTCTCTCTCTCTCTCTCTCTCTCTCTCTCGCCATCGCAAGATTTATAATTAAGTGAAAGATATCTAAAAATAGAGGCACCCTGCGCGACCGATGGAATGCCGCGCGCTGTCGTGGTTATATACGCGAGCATTCAATTAATCCCGATAAACCGAACGCAACGCCGAGTTTCCCAAGGCGAGGTCTGATTGATGTCGAATCACATGATGTGTTTCTACGCTTTAATGGTATACCGTCGCCTAAACAAACAGCTAAAAAAATATGTTCGAACGAATATCAGCGTCGGAATATCTTTGTCCGAATTTTGAATATGTCGGTATAATGAGACGTTATTTTAGTAAACAGTTTGTCCGACCTGTTGTCCCAGATAACTTCATTTTTATTCGTTTACTCAAAGGCTGCGTGATGACACTGATAGATGAGATCGCTGCCCCGCAATTTCTACCCACTTTTAATAAACGTACATCCTAAATTCTTTGAAGTGGAACCGCACTCTAAAGAGTGAAAATTGAGCCAGTTTTGAAAAAGATTTTCAATCTTTAAGAGTGAGACTTCACTCTTCAGAATGATAAAAATTTTAGGGAATACTTATGTATTTCCTTTTTTTTCTCTCGTTTCTTTCTTTTTCTAAAATTGTCTTCAACGCAAATCTTGATCGAAGATAATTACAATAAATATTAAAGTCTACTAGATCGATCAATTTGACGTACTTCTATCCGCTTATAGAAATTCAGAGTTTAATTTTCATAGCAACTTTGTGATCTAATTGCAGAGTAAAGCGGATGAAGATTAGTGAGACGATGAATTTAATTTCCTGAATGTAATTAAACGAGAATCGTATCACTTTCAGATGTCCGCGAATCGATTAAACGTGCTGGTGACTCTGCTGCTCGCCGTCGCGCTTCTTGTGACGGAATCAGGAAACGCACAGGTAGATGGTTATCCCCAATTCAGCTCGAAGCGATCTGCTGTGAGTGCGCCGCAGAAATATTGCGGCAAGAAGCTTTCGAATGCTCTACAAATAATCTGTGATGGCGTGTACAACTCCATGTTTAAGAAGAGTGGTCAAGGTGAGTTTGAGCTAATCGATAGAGGAAACGCTCTTATCACTCGCTTCCGATATCAAGTCATAGATAAATATAATAGTAATAGATCATTACTGAATGCAACAATTTGTGCTTATTTCTCTTTCTTCGCGTGATAACGTTAAGCAATTATGTTTCTAAATGTGTGGACACAAGAGACGCATCGTATTTCATTCTTGATATAATCATAGCTCAAAGCGACTGTTTAACTAGCGGTTATTCGCTGATTATTTCAGCCTTAATAGACGTCTTTCACCGTTAATTTTCAAATTGTACATGTCTACAAGAAACAAATAATAGGATAATAGGATTAAGAATCTTAAATACATTAGCTTAAATAATTTAATAAAATAATTTTATATCTGAATAATTATAAGTAAAATTTAGACCGATAAAAATATTTGACTTATATCTTATTTGATTTATATTTGTATTTATATAACTAAATCTTTTAATATATTTAAGTATTTTTTAATTGGTTATTTGTCAGCATAGTTTTATTCTATTATTAAAATTTATAGAGAACGAAATATCGATTTTTTTAAAGGACATGAAAATATCCATTATTGATGCTTTCCTTTTAATTTTTTGATTTTCTGAACAAGCGATCTGCGAGAGGAAAATCACGCGTTCGGAATATGTCATTGACGCTCTTGCGCGCGTGCAAGCATATAATTCAGGAAGTTAATAATAGGAAGTTAAGGAATAATATTAAGGAAGATTTCTCGATGGCAGACGCCTCGTGACAAAATTTGCATTTGTAATGCGGCGACATGGTCATTAATATTAATGCCGTTCGCATTCCTTCTTTCTCGATTAATGTCACCCGTGATGCGACAAATATTTTATAATAAAGGCACTGATACTTATCCAGCATAAATGCCAAATTACTGGATATTCGTAAATTTGGATATCGTGAGATGTTTGGTGAAAAACATCCATAAACAGACACGTTAATTTGATGTTTCGAACTGTCCATTATTCTTAACGTTAAACCCGCATATCTAAAGTGACTCGTTTCGAAGTATGAATGAGGCTTAATTTGCACTAGACATATAATTAAACGGCTCAATATAAGAATGAGGTCAGCCTATAATTCGTATAGCTCACTTTAGATACAACCTCACGTTTAAAGCGAACATTATAGACTACGCTGGCCACCGATTATAAGGGAACTTTTATCGGTCGGACCCTTCAATTTTAACGGCTTCTCAAGCATGGTCTTTTACAAAAGGCGATTAAGCACGCGATCAATCTGTGCCCGCAATTAACCAAGTAATCGCCACTTTGTCGCCAATGAATAATGCATGTAAGCTGGTATTACGTATTCCCGAGTGGGATCATAAGCCGACGCACTCTCCATAATCGTCGAATGACTTAAATACACCGACAATCGGGGACATTACATTTTTTAGCAACTCTTTACTCGTAGTTTTTTTTTTATGAAAACAAAAATTTACAGTGGAAACGTGAACTTTTTCGGACACGTAAAATAACTTATCATCGAGCTTAATCGATAAAATAAATTCGTATAATCTAACATTGGGATCTAGATGTGTCTGTCCAATTTATTGATAAGCAATTTGTGGAAAGCAAATTCTCGTTATTTATTTTTTCCGAGTAATATGACATGCATTGTAAATAGGTTCCCCATTTTCTTTTTTAAAACACGTGAAATTTGTCAAACAAAACGTAGACAAGCATGATGGCACAAATGAAATTATTCTATTTCGATTTTAAATATAAATACAATATTATACAATATATTACAATCAATGACGCTAATTATCGTAGTCGATATTGCTAAAAGTAATGTTTTATTATATAATTTTACACTCAATAATGTAATTCTTATTAACATCTTTTGTTATATTACATTTATATTGTTGAATGTGAAATTATAGCATAGATATTATGTTACTTTTAATTAGTGTCAATTGGCGATACGTATATAATCTGTTTAAAACTTTAAAATTTTGTTTCCTCTTATATAAATTACGCTTAAAGATCCTTTCCATTACTTTCGATCATTAAAAAAGTTTTGAGATTTTCAAACAATGTTTTACTTTGATTTCTTTCACAGCGCGAGAAGAAGCGAATGTCGATAGCAGAGATAGCAACTTCGACTACGTTCGCACCCAAGGTATGACTTTAGAGAGAAAAAGTTTTTGCAATCAAAAGCGATTTCGAAAATTTCAAAACTTTTCTAAATTTTTCCACACGCAAAATAAGAGGATTGTAAAAAAGTGCAGTGCTTAAAATGTTTACGTTTAAAAAACATCTTTGCAAAGCAATCATTTAAAAATAAAAGATATTTCAATTTTAAACGTCTTAAAGCCAGTTATTCCATCTTTAGATAAATTATCTTGAGATAATTTTTAATTATTGGATAAACAAAAGAGTAAAAGAGTAAGAACATAAGAAAATAAGAGAGTGAGTTGAAGTTTACTAAAAGGTAGAACAACCCAGTTTAAATATTTAAAAAACGGAGAGACAAGAATAAAACATTTTAATATCTTAAAAATAAATACTTCTTTTTTTTTAGTACACGTACTTAATGTACAGAATAAATGAGAATGAGAGCGCTTATTACGTTAAATACAAGAATTTTTGGATGGTTTATTGACGTACAATATGGAAGTTTATTACCATTTATTAAAGTTATACGATAGATACTACAGATTCGTTTTTTTTTTTTTCAGAAATGGAAATGGCCGATTATCCAATCGCCTATGAGTTTTCCCCATTCTTGCCGCGAGCGAGGGCACGGGGGATATTAGATGGACGCTTCGCTGGCAGGCGTTACCGAAGGCAGGGTCGAGGTATCCATGAGGAATGTTGCATCAACTCATGTACGATAAATGAATTGACCAGCTACTGCGGCGGCAGAGGAAGCGCTTCGGAGTAACTGGTAACCCTTCGACTTCCGCTTTACTGCTCGATCACCATGCAAACCGAATAATCCCAGAGATACACGCCTCACGCGCATATACCCATACACGTACACACACATAGAGGGACATACACACATTCCACATTACGTACAGTACACGTTGGAAAGTTCACCGGTAAATCGCATCATCGCTCACGTTGGAGACTGACTCGTGATAATTGTGTATACATTTTACGTATCTGCGATGGAACTGACTTTTTAACGCATGATCGTGCGCGGGATTGTACAATATACTCTTCTTCTTGATTTCTTGTGAACGAGAGGGCACCAGAGGGAAGGCATAAAGATCGAAGAGATCGAAGATATGTTAATTTTACAAGGTGACATCATCAGTAATTCTGCTTCTTTTAAATTAACGACATTTGCCCGACAGTGGGATGTAGATTTTTGCGATTGAGAATGCTTGTTAAGTTTTATTTGTGATAACAGATTACATATAGTTTGAAGAAAGATTGAAAGATGAAAAGTCTGTTTGATATAATTTAATTTTTTCTATCTTTTAAATCTCAAATACTTGTTTTAAATTTAGATGGTTCTTCCTTCACCTGCTCTGCCTTGTCTATGAAAAGACATAAATCTTATTTTTGCAAATGTAATTTAGTGAAACGGAAATCAGTTTTATAGACAAACTATATTCATAATTGAGAACATTTAAAAATTATTAATGATCTCTATAAAAGACGTCACTCAAATTAAATTTATTTTCTTTTAAATTGTGTACGATGTTTACGACATTTGCTCGGAGGAACAATATCAGCGCCCCATATTTGCCTGATTAACAAAAGTTAAATGGGATAAAAAGAATAAAAACGGACAGAGAAAGAGAAAATAGAACCAATCGCGATCTGTTCGCGCGTATCTAATGTGCGATCACGCGTAATTATAGCGATCATCATACGATCCACATGAAAAATGGAGAACATGCACGTCACGCGATTTCATGCTTGCGTTGCCTGAAATCGATCGTGAATTCAAAAGCTATCTTTCTCTTTTTTTAATCAGGCAGCGTCAAGTGATATCGCCACGCGATTTTTCAATTCATATAAATGTATTGGAATATTCGCACTTTTTTACTTTGACCTCGTGACCTGCGAGAGTTTCTGCGTATCTACTATCCACTTTCTGTTACATTAGCGAATGTCCCGCTCGCGATTTAGGATGCGTTCCGTTTTCACACGCATACATTGTAAGCATCAAATCATCCTTGTTGTCTATGAAATAACAAGAATAAATGATGCGCAAAACGGAATGTATCCTTAGAAACGTCGGAAAATCTTTTCGCGATTATCGGAGGGATACAGTCTCACTCGCATGGTGATTTTTGGCGACGAAGCACAGAAGGAATAGCTCGAATAGTTTAGTTTCTTGTAACTTTAGTTAATTAACTGTAACTTCTTTTTTTTTATGTCAAATTCGAGATTCGTTTAACAATCGGGAGCGAGAACACAAATCATTGCTCGGAGACACGACGTCACCGTTCGTCGTTGAGCGAATGCCGAATTTAATATAGGACATTACTGTAGCTTGCGTTATTTTTAATCTGCCAGAGGCTGTGACGATTTTAAGGGGCATCTACGACTGTACTGCATATGGTGATATTATTCTTATTCGTAGAACCTGTATTCCCAATTATCCTTCGAAGAAAGGACCAGGATACGTAATGTAAAACGATTGGTAAATTCATGTCATGCATCGTACTGTATCGCTCGTATCGGAATGCAGCAAAATCAATATCAGTACAACTATGCAGAGAAATCTAACTTACGTCCATTTCTATCAAACGTAGATTAATGTCGCGTTTACATTTTTTCTAATTCTAGAAATTCAAAAAAGAATAAACTGAGGTAAACATATAGCAAGGAACTTGCAGCAGCAACATTATTGCAGTGTTATTGCAATATTTCTGGAAGGATCTGCTGTATGGAAGTTTATCTACATTGATAGAATGTATATTATACTCGTGTCTAATGTAGTTTAATTTTAATCTTGGTTCAATTAATTCTCCATTTTTGTTAGGTTTAAGAATTAAAAAAAAAATGAAGAGTAAGTTGAAAAAACAATATCAAGGATATCTTGATCTATATTGGTAGAAACGGGCATTACACGTTGATTTAATGCAAAGATAATCATATTTATTTTGAAAACAATTTCAAAAGTTGTATTTAAAGAAGAAACATATCCAATTCTGGATATGTTTTATTTTTACATTGAATTTTTTTTTTTATTAAATTCGATTGTCAGATAACAATTGGAGAATTATTGCATTCGCATATGACGATATACGACAAAAGTGAGTTCATTTAGAAGCATGAAACGTGGTTTTAAAAAAACACGCTTTCGTGTTTGCATGACTATCGTTTAAATGAAACTTTGGTAAGTCGGGAAGATCATGAGTCCTATCTCGAAAGGTATTTACCGAAAGGTTTTCAATAATACAAGCGTATGTAGTAAAGAATAATTTTAATAAGAGAGGGTGTGAATACGTATACGGTAATACAATGAATACAAGCTGAAATCTGATTTATTTAATGACCGAACCGAACTTACGGTCTGAATGCATGAAAGAAAAAAAAAGAAGTGAACGAAATGAATAAGCGTATTGTCAAAGGAGAAAAAAATTAAGATTCCAGACGCGTCATGAAACCAAACATCAAGAAGAACGTGGTGTACTCGCCACTATTATCATTCACTCGAGAAGTTTAACATTATATAATACCGATTCGTTTCTACCGATAGTGTTGACTTTCCGTTACGTATTGAATGATCTCTAAATCGCATGCCATTTACCTCGTCACGCATATCTAGCGTAAGAGCACGTTTCATTCCGAAGTATATTATATTGTTATGCTTTATCACCGAACTTGTTTTAGCGCTTATTCCGATTAACTAAATCTCCTTCCTCTGTCCGTATCATAGGTAGGTCTACAAACTTGCGAAGGAATAGCAGATGAACTAATCCGGAGTAAGTTGACGCAGAGTCCATCTCGTCGCGATTTGTGAGGAAAGTTCGGTAACATGGCAAATTCGAAAAAGCGAGTGCACACTTCGTTATCTATTGTAAAAAGTGATACATAATTATACGTTAATTTTGTTTTATTTATGTAATATTTTTCGTAAGTTCTCTCTATAAAGGTATTAAAAAGGAATTTCGAAAATTGTTTTATCTTTTATCGCTATTTTACTTTTTAAGCGCTTGATTCTTTAATCTCAATGGAAATTGTGAGTATAT